ACAGTGTGTGTCCCCTACCTTAAAGAAATATGGATCGAGTAAATAAGTAACTAGAGAGCCTTACAGTGTGACTCTAGGCCTGAATGCTCTGTCCCAGGACAAACCCTTCTCTGCTATCTAAAGAGATACTGATCAGGACTAGGAAAGGTTTGCTTCTCACCTATCGGGGACAAGTTAGGGCACTGCAATAGCATTTTTAGTTTTCAGCGGCGGGGGGCAGCCCTATGTGACTAAGTTAAATTAGTTGTCTATGTGTAAAGTTATTATGTACAGGATATAGAGTTGAGCTGAACATGCAACTCAGGTCATCAGTGTGGTCGCAGGAAAAAGAACAAGTTCTGTGTGGCCATCCCTGGGGTCAAAGAAAGCAAGCAATGACAGCAGGGGCAAGGGATGAAGGAAAAGAACATGTTCTGGTTCTTACTAGTCTGGCTGGTGCAAGCAGCAAAACAGAGCTGTGCCCTATTGTCAGCTGTCATTTCTTTTCTCTGCATGCAGGTTACTACTCATAACTACTTGGGAACAGTGAATCTATGCACTTTCTCTTACACAGACCTGAGAGAAAACCTCTGCATTGGTCTTCAGCTTTATTTTAAAAGTAAAACAATTATGGTTTGCATAGTTGTAATTTGTAATAGAACACAGAAATCTGTGTTTTGGCTTTCTCTTCCAGGTGTCAACTTAAGCTTTATCAGAACATTGCAGCCAGTACATTGTTGATGAGTTTTCTGCCTTAACTGTTGGCTGGCTGCAACTGACACTTTGCTAAGTATCGTTACTTTTTCAGATCCCTTGCAGTTATCCAGAGATAAATTCCCCAAACTTACGATTCAAAGCCAAGGTGCTTGCAAGCCACATTTGCTTCATTCATAGTCCACTCACTATCACATACAAGAATGTGGTTCTTTTGATTCAGAGGTTTTACTTGAAGCAAACTTGAATCTCCATTGCCCACAGAGACTGAAAATGTTTCTAAAAAAATAAAAATAAAAAAAATCCCCAAATAAAATCATATTATGTAGATGTATCTAGTGGAAAGAAGAGCACAGAAACAAATCAGGTCTAATTTTGTATTGACAGCCAAAGTTCATATGGAAAGAACAGTAGATTGGGAATCAGAAACTTTAGGTATTATTCCTGATTTTTCTGAGGACTGACTTTGTGGCTTTGAGCCTGCTACTTTTTCAAAATATACCAGTTTGGGGACAAATGAGGGTAATGGTTCCTACCATGTAAGAGTACCTGAAGGTCTACCAAGCAAAGGTTGCATCTTAGTATAATAACTTTCAGTAGAGCATTTTTGATAACCAATCAGTAACGCTTCAAGTGAGATTTCCAGATCCTGTGTCTATTATTGTATAGCAAAACTTCTGCTATTTACAGTGGAGCTAAGGTCCTCCGCTTAACTTAATGAATGGAGTCTCTCTCATCCTTTTTAGTAGAATAGGCAAATTGAATTTTGCCACCCTGAGGGTGATGGACTGAGCTGCTGCTTCTGTGGGGAAACTGAGGGCTGGTACTGAGACAGAGACTGGGCAGGAGAGTCCTGGGCCTGGCTTGCTGCTCCTGCTGCCTCCGGTGGAGGTGGGGCTGGAGGATGGGTAGGAACAGGAACCCCTACTGCTAAAAGAGGCCACCTGCCTAGTTAGCAGGAGCCATTTCTCCTTGCACTCAGATGGAGATTGGGCTGACAAAGCAGCTTGGTGCAGCTTGATGCAGATGAGCACAAACAGCTGCTTGTCACTGCACAAACCCTCACTGGTTTACACGGCAATAGCTTTCTGTTTTGATGAAATCCACAACACGAAGATGATGGTGGTGAACATGGCTTACCTTCTCCCCACGCACTCCCTCACACACAATCAGTAGCTTGGCTCCATCCCTTGGACTCCTGCTCCTGTGAGGTCTGTCCCTATCCAAAAGATACCCTCTCTCCTAATGTTCTCAGCAGGCCCTCTCCCACTGTGCCACCCACCATAGTCAACACCTTGCTTGGAAACCTTTGAGCTCTTTCCTGTGTCAGTTTCTTCCCTTTCTACCTGATGATTTGAGCAACCTACCAGCAGCAGGGTGACCTGGGCCTGTCACTAATTTTATTTTTATGAAAATCAATAGATACTGCCCATTTTCAATGACTTCTCTTTTTCTGCTTCATGTTCTTACTAGTGCAAGGAAATGAACAGACTTTCTCAGCTGTAAATAGTAAGCATCTCCTTGGCCACAAATGACTGACTGATACATTTTGTAAAATTAATACCTTCAGACATGCATTTTCCCTTGTGCAGAAACTTTGCTTCAGGACGTTGACACTCATAGCTCTTCAGGTGACAATAAGTATGGAAGTTCCTTCTATTGGTAGAACAAACTGAAGTGCCATTCTTGGGGCACTGGTAGGGAAGCTTACAAAGGCACTTTCCCTCCACACATCGTTCCCAGGGATGACAAAACACTTTCTCACAGGACTTGTGTGTATATTTGTTGCTTAAGCATTCTCCTATGAGGTACGTGTCTTGCTCAGCTGGCTGGGCAGGCTCAACCTGCTGAAACTGGTTTTCTTCAGTATTAAATGCTGCATTCTGCAAGGCACAAAATAAAAAATAAAGGGAGTAAGACTAGGAACTGCACCAAGACTTCTGCAGATCACTGACCTCAACAAAGTGTTCATTCATAATCCTTTTCCTATCTTATGAGCACAAAGGTACTAAATAACATTTATAGTGTTTATTCCCTTGTCTTTGGCCACCTCATCTTTTTGGTTTTGGATCATTCACCTGGTGTGATCTTCACTCTTACTGGTCTCCCACAAGCTTTATACTCTTCACTCTTCAAAATTCAGCTAAAGTGCACAGCAGATTACAAACATTTTTTAAGTCAATGGTTTACAACACACCACAGCAATGGGACTGTAACCAAATCAAAACATAAGGGGACCTAAACACCAGAAAAAAAAAAAAATCGACTTGTTTTTTTCTGAGACTTTTTTATTGGCTTGGTTGGCTTTGGGTTTAAATATCACCTGTAAATATTTATGAGCTACTTAAAAGCAAATAAAGAAATCTGAAATTAATGATTTGTTTCACTGTGTAACTGCTGAAGTGCCAAGTACCTTAACGAAATTTGAAAATTAAAGTGCCCTTCTTTATTAGCTCTTTTCCTGTCTCTTGAACAGCAGTGGATTTGCAGTGTGGTTGCTGGTCATCACTGGACTGTAAGTACAGATTGTAACCCTCTGTCCAACTGCCTCTAGGTGAGTGACTGCACCTGAGTTTGTACACCTCTGGTGACATCGCTGCTGCTTTTGCTTACTCACATCTCTGGGTAGGAAGAATGTTGAAACATGAAAAATACATATGGATGGACTTTGCATCAAAATGAGAGAGAAAAGTCAGTCCTCAAATGTGAATTATCAGCTTTGATTGTGTCAACTGAATCGGTGGAGCTTAAGTTTAAAGTTCTTATGAAGAAATCCTGGCCATAGTAAAGTCAGCAGGAATGTTGTTGGAGCAGAATTTAATCCAACAACCCCCCTTTTAATGGTTGTAGTAGAATCTTACTGAATTCTTCCTGCTGTTCTCAGGTGGGTAGAATCCAAACTGTGAGCCAGATCCTGCTTGGCATAACTCCCATATTGTACTAGATATTTCTCCTGAATAGGAACAAAAGGTGCTGATTTTTATCTAAGGGTTTCTCTAAAAGACTCAGGGCATATTGAACACTCAGCCCAGAGGGGCTTTCTGGGACACTTCTGCCAGAAGAGATTCAGCAGCAAACCTTCAGGCAGTACAATATACCAAACTGCCACATTAGAAGACCGTAATTTAATTTTTTTTAAAAAGAGGGACAGGAAAAATTGCAGCACCTTTCTGCTGTCAACTATGTTTGCAAATTGGGTTTAGGATAGGATCATGATCAAAATCTTTTCCAGAAGCCTGTTACCGTAAACCCCAGATAGAATCAATACATGAAAGAGAAATGGCGAGCTTCAAACATTCAAAGTGGGCTGAAACAAATGTATGAAACACAAATACTATGGAAGGAAACTTAAAAAAACCAACTGGTTTTGCTTTTATAACAATAAACTGCTTTTTAACCATTTTTTTTTAGCATTACATTACTGCTACCACAATAAAATAAATTCTTACCTCTGATCCACAAAACCAAAAGAGAGACAAGAAAACCAAGAAAAACGGGACCGCTTGCATGATGAAATTTTATCTCTCTTCGTAGACAAATTCCTCTGGCTGAGATTCTTTAGAATGTCAGTTGTTATATTTGTGTTTAATTTTTAACCATTAGCAAAATATTTTAAAGTGAGTTTAGAAGTACAGGAGCCTCAACTATTAACTGATAAATCTGATCTGTCCAAAAGGATCCCGCCTCTATTTAATTGGCTTCACTGTAAGTGCAGGACGAGATAACAAAAGTAAAGCCCTTAAAGTAAATCATTAAAAGGAAGCACTTATTAAGGGTACACGTTTCTTTTGCTAGGGGAGATTGATCATATCATCACGCTGATTCTTCTGGTTGTAGCCATTCATCTGTGCCAGACTGTTGTAAGAGATGAATGTGTTTTTATACACGAGATACATATGTCTTCATAGATACGGAGAAACACTCATATCTGTGCAATGTCCTTTACATGCCCAGCTGGATTTACATGCCCAGCTCACATTACACGATTTGTATCGGGAATTTCCAAGGGTTTGACCAGTCCCTGAAGTACTCCTGGGAAAGCCGGTTTCCAAGAGCACTTTGGCCGAATCC